TATAAATAATGTTTAATAGTTTAACTTGTGAGTAATCAAAATAATTACAGACTTACAGCCAATAAGTGCATATTTTCAAATCTGAGCCGTTATCCTTTCCCCCCGCCAACGCTCCAAAGCATGCCACGTCATCCACTGTGAACGTTTTCCACGTTAATAGTGTGCTCATCCCTTTGATCAGCATTATAAACTTATCAATTTGGATAATCACATCTTATTTTGATGGTCTACGTTTAATTTTTAATTTATTCAAAATACTTATTTTAATATATATAAAATAAAATAGAGATAACCTCCTAATTATATTTTTAAAAAAATAATTTTTATTTAAAAATAATTAATTAAATATTTTAAATATTTATTGTTTAAATTAGATATAAACTGCAGAAATCGGATAAGTTTAAGAAGTTATGTTTCCTGATTGGACTCATTTAGAACAGCTTACAAATAGTTTTTTAATAATGATTTAAAGAATACAAGACAAATATTTGAGAGGAGTTTTACCCTGAAACGTACTATAAGAAATTTTTTAAACTCCCGAACAGGCCCTTAAGCTTTATCGTGCTCATGGTTGTATCAGATAAATAACTTTTCTCTCCCTTTCCCTCATTATCTCTCGTCCTCAGTTTCGAAAGCCTCTCACACTCATTCTCCTCTCCGCCGGTCGAAAGCAGAGCGTTGCAGCCTCTCCACTGTGACATCCGTCAGATCTTCACTATCACATCCGTCGCATCTCCACCGTGAGCGCCGTCCAGTGCTGGGACCCTAAATGTATCGTTTGTAATGGAGTAGCAGTCAGTCCAGTGATGCGCACAATGAAGGAGAAGCCGATGGTTTGTTAGTTCCCTTTTGCTGTTCCCAACCTACTGGTTTGGGCTCCTCCACTTACCCATCAGTCTAAGGCTTCTCACCAGTCGCATCGTCGCGTGTTCGATTTCGCGTCTGCATATCTAAGCATCTTGTATTATTGGTTGATTCCCCTCCACGACCCTCACCAGTAACGTTTCGGGGTTCTCTTATTCGATTGCCAAAATTGATTGTGCGTTTTATTCTCCCTTGATCCCATCTTGATTATTTACTGCTGAGATTCTTAATATTTCTTTTTGTATGATACTCAAGACCTATTTAACTATTTAATTAATTTGATTAAATTAAAAAAGTTAGATAAGATAGTTGATTATAAAAATATAACATGTTTTTTTTAAAATATCATAATTATTTTTTAATATCCTTTTTTTTTTTTGCTTGATTATGGTTCTGTGAAATTCATAAGAATAATTTAAAAAATTAATAAATATGAAAAATATGTCTTATATTTAGGACCAAAATCAACTTAACAATTAAATTGGAGGAGTATGAATTAAGGTTTTAAAATATATTTCAGTATTTAAATTCCGTTTTTTCATATTAAAATAATTCAAATTAATTGTATTGTTTAAATTTATTTTTATCATTTTTTATTGTTTAAAAAAATTTATATCTATTTTGATAATTTTATAAATTAAACTTATTTTTTAATCATAATCCAAACAATCTTCTACTCCGTTTAATTTTTATAAATTAACTTTTATAGAATCTAATCCAAACATAATTTATATCACTTAATTTAATTTTTACCCAATCTAATTTTTCTAAAAAAAATAAATTAAAAATAAGTTATTTTTTTCATCCTAATCCCAACAAACCCAAATTATTGGATTCTGATTGTCATGGCCACAGATATCAAATAAAGATGTAAGCTCGCGTCGTGGCAAGAGAGAAGATAAGATAGCACGTTGGATTACCGGCTCCTTTCCACTTCACCCACTTTGAAAAGGTTTTCCGCTATACTTATTTTTTGCCTTTAGAAAAGTTAAGCGCTCCTTTTCTTTTCCTTTTGGCAACACATCAATTCAATTATGCTTTCTTCTTACTTAGTGCTCTTTTCTTTTTTCTTTTACCTTTCATGCATTAGTACATTTCAATTTGCAGAATATTAAAAGGATAGTGATTAATTGAAGTTCATAGCTATAATGGTGGTTTAATAAATTTTAAAGTTTTAAGTTCATAATTTGTGCTTATTTAATATTTATAAAACTTATTATTTTATAGTTTTTTAAGTTATTTTATAAAACTTAAATTAATATTTCAATGGTTATAGATCTGTCATCATGATATAAGCGGCCTGAATTTTGCTACCTAGGGCTTCGAAAATTAATATTTTATAGTTTGGATGACTCGTGTGTTCTGTTCCGAAAAGTGGCACCTGGTGGGGGCAACACTTTTGAAAATTTGAATTTTGAAAGTCCATTTGGAAATTAGAGGTATGATTAATGCTTACATTTTCTTTGTTGGTCAATAATTAGCGCTTACTTTGCGACCTGCATCATTCCACCATAATCATATCATGTGAAAATATTCCAAAAAACTATCCATTTTATTTATTATTAGTATTATTTTGTGCTGATTAGGAGGCTCAAATTTTCACCGTCTGCAACATAGCAGCTTTAGTTAATTGAGCTATGGAAGGAAGCCGCAATTTTAACGACATAGTTGCAGAGCCACTCACGAGAAACAGCAGTGGTGATTGGTTCGAATGGGTTAAGAACTATCTGATATCTCGAGATCTTTGGGAAGTGACGAATAGTAGCGCAAGACCAGACGAAGATGATTTGGAAGGGTTTCCTAAATGGAGAAGAAACAATGCTGCACAGCTGCAGCATTGCACGTCATCCGTATCTCTTGTGGACGTCCCAATCACTCCCATATAAAAGGGGTCTCTAAAGCCAAAGATGCATGGGACATTCTCTATGAGACCTACAATAACAATGCGCCGGCCTCTGCACCGGCTTCTCCCCCAGGTCAGTGCCTTATATATTTCATTAGTGGTATATGTGGAAAAATCCTTTAGTAATTAGGGCACCAGCTCTCTCACAAGAGTCATCTCCACAAAATTAATTTACTCAAAATATACGGTCCTTCTTTATTTGTAAGGCTACTAACAATTCTCTTATTGCCCTCCTACTCAAAATATAATTGAGTGGTGATTACAGAGTTAACGGAGGGAGAAGAATTAGAGATGAGTAATACGCTCAAGGCCATAGCTGAAAACAACTGGTTGGCTGCGAAAGCATTCATTGATCGCTATCCTCAGGTATTGGACGTAGATTTTGCGAAGTCAATGGGCGAAACACCTCTTCACGTGGCTGCAAAATTTGGGCATCTGGACATAGTAGAGGAGCTGGTGAGATTAGTTCCAGAAGAATATCTGGAGATACGCGATGCTTACTGGGGCAATACTCCGCTTGCAATGGCTGCTTCACACAGTGAACTTATCCCAGTTGCAGCATGCTTGATCAGCAAAAATAAAAAGCCACTTGAAATTCCAACTGATAATAACGCTTGGGAGATTCCGGCTAACTCGGCTTTTTATTCTGGCCGAAAGAAAATGGGACGTTATCTTTATTCTGTCACTCCTTGGGAAGTCTTCAGACCAGACAACGGCAGTACTGTGGGGCCCCTTTTTCTCCAAACCTGTTTGAAACTTGGAGAATTAGGTAGCATAACTACTTTTAGATAAATAATTTTATACACAGCATAATAATATATGTGTTTCATTTTCGTTTGGGTTAAGGTATATTTTAGTCCCGAAAGTTTTCACGAAGGAACTGTGGGTATCCAAAAATATTTTTTGAGGTAAAGTGGTTCCGGAAGTGACAAAATCGTAGCAATGTCGTCATATTTCAACGGAGTTAAACGGTCAATGTTAGTTGACCAATTTGTGTTGGGGTGGTTCTACCATATAGGATAGCACGCCACATAATAAAATGAAATACCAAACATGTCCCTTTCTTCTTCCTCCTCCACCACACGTTCTTTGGGAACAAACCAAAAACAAATGCAGAGCTGAATATTTCTGGGCTTACCTTCATCCCTCACTGTTCAACCTCTTGCTCTGTTTTTATTTTTCTAATATTTCTCGCTTTATAATCATGTTTGTTGTTTGGTTTTGAATTTGGATTTCAAAATCTATTGTGATTTTTTTTGGTTGATTTTAATTAATGAAGTTGGTCATAGTGAGGCTTGTGTATTTGGAGAGCTACTGTGAAGAGCTGAAGATACCCACAAATATCATAATCAATCCAAACTGCCATTGCCGTGTGAAATTTTGACTGACACTGATGCTATGCCAGAGTCTCTTTATGATCTTAAATATTCTCTATGACATGCCTGAGTCTCCCGTATGAATGGCATTTTGAAATACTCCAATTAGTTGAGATTTGAGTCTCCTGAAGCAATTAAGAGCAAAGATACGAAGGTTGCTGTAGGTTGTCGAGGAGGATAGTGAGAATAACTAAGAGTAGGGGCGCGAATATCTAGAAAGAAGATGAAGAAGCCATGGAATGATCTAAACTAAAATTCTCCATGGATGCGGATGATAATGATGAAGGGTAGAGATTTGCGTTTTTCTAGATTCGTTTTTCTTCTCATATTGGTTAACTGTTGATCTGGGTTTAAAATTTTTTTATGGGACTGATGATGATGATGCAGGGGAAAGGTTTCTTTTACTTTATTTTTTTTCAGTAAGGGTTGTGATGATGTGGCATGTTATGTGACATAATATTTAATATGACAGATCCACCTCAGTACAAATTGGTCAACGAAAACTTTCAGGACAAAAATGTCATTTTACCCTTTTCATTTCCCCCCGTCAGTTTATGATGTGGCATGTTAGGCTTTTTTCCATTTCTCATACTATATGATGTTGGTGCATAAATAGATATTGCCTTGGATTTGCTCCGACGATGCAAGGAGCTGCTTTTTGCTACTGACATAAACGAGGACCCAATAATTCAGAATATTGCACGCTATCTTCCTTTGTCTCTGAACATATGTCAACTTCCGTTCTGGAAGCGATGGCTGTATCACTGTTAGTGCATATTATTACTTTCTACTACTCTCTGTTTTTCCCTACAATTTTTTTTATGTTGTTTGCTCATTTTAATTATACACTAGCCAAAATGGTGAATTATGATGATGAGGATAAAGATGGTGAAGATGAAGTTATTTTAACTGCCACTGGTATTCATCCACCAAGGCTCTTTGAAAATTTGGTGAAACGTTTATGAAGCTTTTCCAAAAATAATGTTGGCAAAATTCCAAAAATACAATTTATACAATTAACCCTCAATTTATTGGAAAATATTATCTCTGACTTTATTATTATTTTTTTGCAACTATTATTTCTGACTTCATGTTTCATACAAAACAATCCCTCGATTTATCTCTAGTTATTTCTTGCAATATTATTCGAAGAAGCTTATGTGTTCCATTTCTTTGATCACATTTGGGTGGAAGACATCAAAATACCATCAACCACAACCACGGGGCATTTCTGCGTAGATATTCAGCAAGAAGGCGAGAGCAACCAAGCTGGTCAAGGTACAAAATTCTCTCTCACTTTAGAGGATGAAATTAATTAATATTATATTACTATTATTATATAAAATAGATTATACAATGTAAAGTTACGTTTTTCAATTTATTCATTATACATACCAAAGTCCATGTCAACAGGCCTAGGTCTATTCCATTGGCCCATCTCCAGCACCTACAATTTGTTAGGTACGTAAATGTACCAAAAAGTTTCCCCAGAACTTAAATTGGATGCCTTTAATATTTTAATTCTATTTGATTTACGACTGGTGCAGGAATCAACAAAATATATGAGATGAAGGTGCAGCATGCAAAAGCACATGAAATTCTAAACTTAGTTTGCGAGAATCTGAGACATTTGAATGAAGTAAAGAAGAAAATGTTTGGAAAAGCACTGATATCTGTATCTGAAGAAGAGGGTGTTGAGTTTTTGTTGCGAGTAACGAAGGCAAACACAGAATTAATAATGCTAGTCATTTATGGTGGGTCCCGCTTGCCCATTTTCTTCCATGCTGTTAAGTATCGTAGAGCTGAGATTTTCAACCTGCTCCGTGGTTTTCGCTTTAAGAATGTGGTGGCGTCATTTGCTGATTCCAAGAGCTCAAATACCTTGCTGCATGTGGCAGCCATGTTGGCTCCTTCTTCCTACCTTGACCACATCTCTGGTGCTACATTGCAGATGCAAAGAGAGATGCAATGGTTCAAGGTTAGTTAGAAGTGAAATTTAATGCTCTTTCCTTCGATATTGTGTCTTTTATTAATTACTTATTATGTATTTATTTTCTGTAAAAATAGGCTGTCGAGAGTGTGGTGGGTCCTGGATATAAGCTAGTTATAAACAACGACAAGTTGACGCCTCTAGAGTATTTCAAAAGAAACCACAAAGAGCTTAGGGCTGATGGAGAAAAATGGATGAAAGAAACAGCATCTTCTTGCTCAATTGTTGGGGCTCTAATCGTTACCATCATGTTTGCGGCAGCTATAACGGTTCCCGGAGGGAACAATCAGAATTCAGGATACCCAATGTTTATGGAGGAGAAGTTATTTAAAGTCTTTTTAATTTCAGATGCACTTTCCCTGTTTTCTTCCACAACTTCCGTGCTCACATTTTTAGGGATCCTCACGTCGCGCTATACATATGAAGACTTCCTTTACTCACTACCCACAAAATTGATAATAGGTCTTTCTACACTGTTTCTATCTATTGCAACTATGATGATTGCTTTTTCAGCAACCATAATGATCATGTTGCAATATCACTCATCACGTTTATGGGTCATTCTTCCTGTTCCTATACTTGCTGCTGTTCCAGTAACCCTCTTTGTAGTATTACAATTTCCTCTTCTTGTTGAAGTATTTCGGTCTACTTATGGTCCAGGCCTTTTCAAGAAGAAGGTGGTGACGTGGCCTTTTCCAAAAGTTGCTGACGGATCTAGAGCTTAACTTGTTTCCAATATTAGGTTCTGTTCTACTAAGATCTATGTAAGTACGTGCTTCGCGTCTTATTACTTCATGTATTTTCTGTTGAATAAGAAATTTCTGATCCCTTTGAATCTTATAATGTAAAGCACCATGCGTGAAGATTGATAATGTTGTGACTATAGCAGGAATACATATGGGCCTTTTATAGTTTGAATCCAAATAAGGTTGAACAATTTAAATTTAAATTAATAAAAAGTTTAATTGTATTCATGAGCATTTTTCCATCAATAATAAGAAATAAAGTGATGGTTGAGATTTTTTAAATTCAAATTTAAGAGATCAAAATCATCAATGCAATAAAACGGAAAATTTTATATTCTTTTTTTAAAATATTCAATGAATTAATATCACAAAAAAATTACTATCACTCCTTGGCTCTCTTGGTGTGTGAGAGAGAGTACCCCGTCAAATTAAAGCCTCAAAAATCAAGCTGCTAATGATCATTCCTTTCAAGATATCATTGATGACTGTTTTCATAAGTTTCGCACATATAGAGAATGTAAAAAGCTCTGCTAATTATGTAACTACATAGGGTCTTGAAATTATAAGATCGTTAATAATGGGTTTTCCAAAAAAATTAAAAATGGGTAATATGGTCATTTAAATAATCTTTAAAATCCCTATTTAGATTTATTTAAATTGTGCAAAAAGCTAGAGTTCAATTTTTTTAAATTCAAATTTTTTGCCATATTTTTTCAATTCAAATTTATGAGATTAAAATTATTAATATGTAAGATTTATTAAAATCTCCAATTAATTAATATGACAAAAAATCACAGTATGTTCGTGTGAGAGAGAGAGAGAGAGAGACAAGATCCGCGGGATCGTATAGTCATCGCATGGCATTGGCAGACCAGAGTAGCCCCTATAGTTACTTTTGCGTGGTCACTACACACTATCACCGTACATCAACTGGTTCAAGCTCTCCATGGCCATTACACGTACGTGAGGGCCGCGAGCAGGTGTCCGTGAAATTATGAGGAAAATTACAGTAAAATTTTAAGAAAAAAAAAATTATTAAAGAATCTCAATAACAATTTAATCAGTTTATAATAACAAGTTCTAAAATAAAAAATAATAACTTTTATAACTTGTTTTGTAATTATTTTTTCTCTTAAAATCTCATTGTTATTTTCCCGAAATTACTCCACGGGGAGCCAGGACCTTTTCTAGAAGCACAACATATTCTCATCCTCTCGTTCAAACGAAATATAACGATCTCCCCTTCATTTTAAGGTAACTGTCACCTTAATTTGGAGTTATGCGTAAATACCCCAATGTTACCGGAATGAGAGAGCAAGAGAGTAAAAGGAATAATAGTGAGACGAAACTGGGAGAGAAAACAATTGAGCTTTCTCATTGTTTTTCCCCCCCTTTTTGCCAATCCACATGACTTCAACATTTTGTTTTTGCCAGCATATGCCTTTAACTATTGAAGTAAAGAAATAAAGAAATAAAGAATAATATAATGACATTAATCATAAGAAACTTTCTCTGATCATTTATTGGAGAGGTTTCATGTTTAGAACATTCCTAAGACTTAAGGTGATGGACATTTACACATGTAATGTTTATCCTCCTTCCTGTTCACAATGTAACACATTAGTTAAGCTTTCTGGCAAATGAAGGAATATTGATTAAATTATTAATTTGTTTTAAATTAATAAAAGTTACCTATTTTACTCTTATTATGGAATGTGATAGGGAAATTCTTTCATCTCTTTTCTTCATTTAAAACTGTCTTTCCTTTTGCGATAAAAGCTAAAGATAAAAATTTATCATTAATTACTCTATCAACCTCTTAATTATATTTTGAACCAAAATTTTCTTCTAAAATACTTCTTATAATTTGGAGAAGAAGGAATAATAAATAGAATCGATAATGTTTTATTAAAATCCTTATTCTTCCTCCATTTTAAAATATAAATCTCTTTTTTTTGGTGAATAAAATATAAATCTTTTAAAATCGAAGTTATGCTTACAAATTTTTTTACCAAAAACAGGAGTGTGTATTATTAATCACCCAAAAAAAAAATCAGAGTACACGAGCAAATAGCCAAAACCAAGAAACGTAAAGAAGACCAAAAGAAAACTCACAGTACGACTTATCAGAAAAAAATTGACAAAAACTATAGAAATTATTGACTACGTTACCAAATTTATCCTTAGTTAACGTGATGAATAAATTAAAGTTATTGAAGCAAGTAAGGATATATCAAAATAGTATTAGTAAATAAGTCTTCTTTTTTCTTTGGCCGAGTAAATACTTCTTTAAACTTCTAGAAAGTCATATAAAACACGAAAATGTTTAAGACTCACCATAATTTGAAAAAGAGGGATATTATTATGATGATTAAGATAAATACCCCTCATTTATTGGAGGATGAAATTAAATTATCCTGTCAAAAAAACTTTATATTTTCTTGAAAGCCTAAAGCAACAATTGTCTTGAAACAGAACTCGACCCGAGTGAATATATATGCTCCTGTCAGCTGAGATGCTAGGAGCTGCAAATGGTCTAGAACACTGTTGGAATCTGGGAATTAGGAAAGTGGAGGCATGTTGCGATTAGGCAGGAGCCATCAACCTTTTTCTCTAGAATCAAGCCAATAATCATTCCTTTGAAGATACCATTGATGATAGCATCAAAATTTTCGATTGTTTTCATAGATTTTGCATAGAGAGAATGTAAAATCTAACTAATTAAACAGTGTCATGAAATTACTGATTTTTTCCCTTGATCTTTGTATTGTTTACCTTCGATTGTGAACGAAGTTTCCGTTTTATTATTCATAAAAGGAAAAAAGATAACCAGCTCCCCAGAAATGACGTTAATATGAATGATAGTACATCAAGCCTTATCTTGCTCATAGTCATTAGTCAGCCCCTTGGCCGTGTATTGACTATTGTGTGGTCACTGCCATCGGACATTATGAGGCACTTTATGGCCGCGTGACCATGAGGGCTGAGAGTAGGTGTACAAGTGTAGTGAAATTATTTCAAGGGGGAACAGCATATTATGATATTCTCATCCTCTCGTTCACACGAAATATAACATGTACCCCACGTTTCAAGATAATTGTCACTCTATGCGTACTGATTTAAGTATAGCCGATAAAACAATTGAGCCTATCCAGTCAGTCCATTTAAACTCATTCAAGCCGAGGATCGGGATCATCATTTGGACCTTTTAAAAATAAGTAAAAAGGTTGGTTCTACACAGTAAGCCTTATCTCGATCACAGTCATTAGTCAGCCACAGGGCAGTGTACTCACTATTGTGTGGTCAGAGGGTCGAGAGTAGGTGTTCAAGTGTAGTGAAATTATTCCAAGGGGGAACAGCATATTCTGATATTTTCATCCTCTCGTTCACATGAGATATAACGTGTCCCCCACGTTTCAAGATAATTGTCACTCTATGCGTACTGATATAAGTATAGTTGATAAAACGGTTGAGCCTATCTAGTCAGTCCATTTAAACTCATTCAAACCGAGGATCGGGATCATGATTTGGACCTTTTAAAAGTAAGTAAAAAGTTTGGTTCTATAAAGTAAGCCTTATATCGCTCACAGTCATTAGTTAGCCACATGGTTGCGTACTCACTATTGTGTAGTCACTATCTTCGGACATTATGAGGCACTTTATGGCCACATGACCCATGGGGGCTGAGAGTAGGTGTATAAGTGTAGTGAAATTATTCCAAGGGGAACAATATATTCTGATATTCTCATCCTCTCATTCACATGAGATATAACGTGCCCTCCACGTTTCAAGATAGTTGTCACTCTATGTGTACTGAGTTAAGTATAGCTGAAAAAATATTTGAGCCTGTTTGGTCTGTCCATTTAAACTCATTCAAACCGAGGGTCGGGATCATGATTTGGACCTTTTAAAAGTAAGTAAAAAGGTTGGTTTTATAAAGTAAGCCTTATCTCGCTCCCAGTCATTAGTCAGCCACAGGGTAGTGTACTCACCATTGTGTGGTCACTGTCACCGAACATTATGAGGCAATTTATGGCCACATGACCCATGAGGGCCGAGAGTAGGTGTTCAAGTGTAGTGAAATTATTTCAAGGGGGGACAGCATATTCTGATATTCTCATCCTCTAGTTCACACGAGATATAATGTGTCCCCTAAGTTTCAAGATAACTGCCACTCTATGCGTACTGATTTAAGCATAGCGGGAAAAACATTTGAGCCTGTCCGGTCATTCCATTTAAACTCATTCAAACCGAGGGTTGGGATCATGATTTGGACCATTTAAAAGTAAGTAAAAAGGTTGGTTTTATAAAGTAAGCCTTATCTCGCTCCCAGTCATTAGTCAGCCACAGGGTAGTGTACTCACCATTGTGTGGTCACTATCACCGAACATTATGAGGCAATTTATGGCCACATGACCCATGAGGGCCGAGAGTAGGTGTTCAAGTGTAGTGAAATTATTTCAAGGGGGGACAGCATATTCTGATATTCTCATCCTCTAGTTCACACGAGATATAACGTGCCCCCCACATTTCAAGATAATTGTCACTCTATGTGTACTGATTTAAGTTTAGCTGAAAAAAAATATTTGAGCATGTCTGGTCAGTCCATTTAAACTCATTCAAGTCGAGGGTTGGGATCATGATTTGGACCTTTTAAAAGTAAGTAAAAAGGTTGGTTCTATAAAGTAAGCCTTATCTCGCTCACAGTCATTAGTCAGCCACATGGCAGTGTACTCACCATTGTGTGGTCACTATCACCGAACATTATGAGGCAATTTATGGCCTCGTGACCCATGAGGGCTGAGAGTAGGTGTTCAAGTGTAGTGAAATTATTCTAAGGGGGAACAACATATTCTGATATTCTCATCTTCTTGTTCACACGAGATATAATGTGTCCCCTAAGTTTCAAGATAACTGCCACTCTATGCGTATTGATTTAAGCATAGCGGGAAAAACATTTGAGCCTGTCCGGTCATTCC